AGGCATCCCCACCATTTGACCTGCAAGCAGCCACCCTCCCTCAGGATGGAGTCAAGCCCCTGAGAAACGGAAGGGAGGAGGGGGCCATTTTGAATTGGAATCAGCTTTTCATATGGGCAGAAACTATCACAACTTTAATTTTTTGCAACTTAACACTTCCCATAGAAAATGCCCTGTATCACTACAAATCCTATTAAGGTCTGGTAAAGGACTGTATTTTATCAACTTTCATTTTGGTCTGCTGGAAAGGAAAAGGCAGGAAGAAATGTGCTTATGGCAGCTTCCTTTGAATAGGTTGGGTAAAAAGGCCTGGTTCCGTCAAGGAGCAGAGAAGAGATCACACATAATTTTTGAGCCCCTCCTTCTTGAAGGAGGGCATCCCACCTTTGAAAATCAGTGCTATGTATCTATGAAAGGTTCTATCATCTATGAAAGGTTGAGGAGTAGATTATGACTGGACTGAATTTCTATGCAGATATTACTTTGTTGGAAGACTTAGATCTTTGCCCATTATGGCTTATGCAATCAGCCAGAGCTGGGTTGGGTACCTGGACCTCTGTGGTGGTTAATGCTTTCTTGAGGCTTAGTGAGGTTCCCACTACTCCAGGCAGCATCAGGTGATATTGAATGCTTAGATCCATGAAACCAACAAAGTTTCAGACCTAACCATGGGATGGAAACAGGCTTAGCCACCTTGGCTGATGACTTGGGCTAGAGAATGGATATGGTGAGTGCAATCCTATTGGTTCTTCTGGGACTTTTCAGCAGTTTTAGCTAGTTTCGGCCATGGTATCTTCTGGATCTTTTAGCTGAGTTCAGCTGAGGAGATATCAGTTTTAAAATAGCTTGAGAAGCAGTCTCAGAAGACGGTGCTGTGGGGTACCTGTTTGGGGTTCCTTTCTGTCCCCCATGCCTTTTAACATCTATGTGAAGCCACCAGAGGACATATTCTGGAGGTTTGGAGTGAAGTACCAGTGTGTAGATGATGCAGAGCTTTGCCTCTCATTTCCACTGCCCTATCCCAGGGAGACTGTCAAACCCACCCCCAGGGTCTGGATTCTGTTTCGAGGATGGATGTGGTTAAATAAGCTGAAATTTAATTCAGATAAGACAGAGCTACTGTGACTTGGGAAACCCGCTGCTCTGGAGGGAGGTTCACCACTGGTCTTAGGTGGGTTGCATTCTGCCTAAAAGACCAACAGCACGTGCTGGGAGTCCCCTGGATGCTGAGCTACCTGGGGAAGCCCTGGTGGCTGCGGTGTCCAGGAATGCACTGCACTAGCTTCAGGTGCTGGATACAGCCCTATCTGGAGAAGACAGAGCTCACCTCAGACCCCATGCATTAGTGGTGTCCAGGTTGGGTCACTGGAACACACAGTAATGTGCATAGGGCTGCCTTTGCAGATGGTCTAGAAACTTCAGCTGGTACAGCATGTGGCCACCCAAGTATTGCTGGGGCAAGGCATACAGCAACTGTACCACACCAGTAAAATGCTCTCTGGGAATTTTAGAGTCTTTGGGGGACTGAATTATTCAAAGGACCACCTTTACTCATATCAGCTTGTCCACACTTTAAGGTCAGCAGAAGAGTCCTTTTTCATTCTCTCACCTGTGAGGGTAGTTGGGTGGGTGACTACACAGAAGCCTTTTCTGCAGTGGTCCCTATCTCTGGAATAAGTTGCCATTAGGGATCCACCAGGCCCCATCTCCGCAAGGTTTCGAGGAAGCCGGAACGCCTCCTACTTCGCACTGGTCTCCCCCTGATTATGTTTTATTGGGATGCGCTGTAGCTGCAATTTCTTGTGCTGGTGCTTGTTGATTTTCCAGATTGCTGCTCTTATTGTTTTTATTTACTCTATTGATTTTTGCTATTGCTCCCCACTGACTTGGGAGCATTCCTCCTGGAAAGGCCGCCAAGAAATATTTTAAATAAATAATAAACCAGCAGTGCTACATTGTGAAAGAAGGACAGCTGTTCTAGTATGAGGGCCATGCTCCTTTCAGAACAACATAGTAACATTTATTTGCACATGATTCTGCGCTTGGGTGCATGCTTTTCTTTAGCTACCGCCCCTTCTCTCCTATATGCACTTCTTAGCAATAAACACCTTGGCCCTCCTCGGATCCCTCCTCCAGTTGTAGAACCAGGTTAAGGCAAGCAGCTGGCCATGAGCTGGAATGTCTCCATATTCTGAAAGGCAAATGCCCAGTGAGAAACCTGCCCGTCAACCAGTAGAATTAGATAGGATGAAGAACAGAAAAGGCTAGATGACACAGAACTGAACGTGGGTAAATTGACTATTAAAACATCATTCTTCACTGCACAATCTTTGGATCAAAAAGATAAATAAGGAAATATATAATGGAAATGTTTACACAGCCATTGTGCATGATTCATTCCAGGAGAACTGTTAGACTAAATATAGAGGTTATTGATAGGGGGCATTATAAACCTTGACGTAGGAACAACCAGTTATGGTTACACAAAGTTTTAATTGGGAGATTAACTGTTGCAGACAGAGTTGAGTTTCTTAAAACTTTAGAGCAGGAGGTGGGATTAAAGAGATGAGGACTACAACTTTAAAAATTGTGTCTATATGAGAGACTCTGCTGCTTAATAGCTCCAATAGATCACATGTTAAGATGGTTTGTTTGTTTCACCATATCCAGTATGTCTCCAGCTAAGTCAATTTCTCAGTGGAGGCAGTACTGCAAAAATAATGCTGGTGGACCTGGATAGCAGATGAAGCAGGGATGGTGAGACAAGATGGTTGTGCTGTGAAGGACACTGAGAGAGCAGCTGGACGATCAAAGGGGAAGGAGGAGAGGAAACAGCCAAGCCAGTTATGTGTTGGGCACACTCTGTGTTGCTCCATGAACAATCCACCCTGGGTAGCTTATTTGTAGCCTGGCTTCCTGTCACATGCAAAATGGCCACAAGTGGCTCTCCAGAGCTTCAGGCTGGGGTTTTTGCAGCCCCATCTTGGGGTGCCAGTATTGAATCTGGGACCGTCTGCATGCAAAGCAGGTGCTCTGCTCAGAGCCGAGTGCATTGACTGTATTTGCGTTCATAGTCATCAGCCAGATAGTGGAAGTACAACCTGTCGAAAGAAGGAGCAAGTCAAGCCTTGACTGCTCTTGATTGCTCTTTCTGTCTAGAAGGAAAAAGTCAAAATGCATTCTTCAATGCCAATCTTTCTTTTATTGAGCAAATTCAGCAAACAGTGCCTGCTACTGTGAAACACAAAACAAACAGGAATCACATTGGCTCCAGCATCACCAAGAGACAAGTGGATATATTTACTCTTGATCTTAAAACTAAATGGTAATGGCAAATAGCCTAGTGCTACACACTGCATACAGGGCATCACAGTGAAAATGAAATATGTACACCAGGTTCGCGCTGATGGCCTCTTAAGCCATAGAAAGAGTGATGCAAATTGTATTTTCTATCTAAATAAAATATCTAAATTTGCTGTAACACACTGCTACATTATTATGCATTCCACATGTGCCCTGGTAGATGAATATGTGCTCAGATGTCCTCATGTCACGTGCCCAGGAATATCAAAAAGTTATCCTGTGCATGGACTATATTGCTCAAGCAATTAAGGCCATAGGGTAGAAGTCAGATTTAGTAATACTTAGACACATAAATCAATAAGAACTTAATCATGAGCTACTCAAGTTCCATTTATTCAACTATTCAAAGTATGACTAACTCTGGATCCAGCCCATAATGTTGTCCATAAAAGCTTTCTTTCTTTTTGCACCAATGCTAAATAAATCCATCTGATTGTGCTAGGCCCTATACAATTCTACCTAAAAGCATGGATTTTGTCTCCAAGGATTCACATCTGAAAGATTGTTAAATGAGATAGACTGAACTCTTGTTATGTAAGCTTCAAATATATAACCAAAGAATTGTTATTGAAATACTTCATATTATACATTAAATCATATTTCATAGCCCAGTGTTTAAACCATTCAATTATCAAAATGTCATACATGTTTTCTGAGCCACTTGGATGAATGAGGTCAACTATACACACAATCTCCATAAATGTAGAATATACATTGCCAACATCTTATTATACAATTCAAAACACATCAGCCATCCAGCAGTGTGCTTTCATACTCTGCCAATATCACGTGATTGATTTCTTGCAAAATTATAGCAGAAGGAGGCCTGTGGAGAAAATAACCTGAAATTCCGGTAAAGCAGATCAACAAATAAGCAAAACCACTGGCTGCTGCCGGCTGCTGCTCTTGCTGTTTTGCACATCCACATACATGAAAATACCTTTTTTTAAAGCCTAGACCTGCATGATGTATGCACAGTATGCATGCATACTAAAAAATAAATCCCTAACTCCTTTCTAAGCGTACACAGAGTTCAGCCAAAGGCAGTGAAGATGAGTGGTTTAAATGGGATTTCTGGAGAAATGGTGATTCTTTGGATAGACCAATGAAGCATAAGATGGAGGATGCCTAAACCTACCTGTCAACTCTGTTCAAAACCTGCCAGAGCCAGACTGGGGACATGGGTAGGGAGTCCTCAATCTAGCTTTCTAAAGTGTACTCCCCAGTTCATTTGCTCACAATCGGCAGCTTATGCTAGCTGCAACCCACACCAAGCAAATACCACCTCCTAAGATAATTGTGTGTATACATATATGTATATTTTTATATATAGTCCACTCCAATCTAGAGGATTCATGGCTGAACCCTTACAACTGAAGTCACTGCCGTTATCTGCTATAAAGTCATTTCCTGTCCAGTATGTGTTGAGTTTTGCCCCATAGAGCCATCTACGGCACATGAATTTCTGACACATCCTCTGCTTTTGGGCTGCATTGGCTGAAACCATCTGTCAGTGCTTACATTTTAAAATCTCATCATATTTTATAAAAGCCAAATGCACTTAAGTCCAAATCCTTGCCAAGTCCAAGGAATTCAGTCTTTGATTACAGCCTCGCACACGAAGCAAAAGTGTGGTTCTAAGTGACATTGAAAGTGATGAAAGAGTTGGCAATTTTCTCTTGGAGACTCAGCCGCTCTGCCTCTCCCCATGTCTGGATTGGGATCTGGCAGCAGCTGGAAGCCCTGGCCTGGGCAGGCTCATGTACATGGATCACCTCTGTCAGATCTGCCTCCAAGATGCTGACTGTGTGGGTCACCTGTGCCACATGAACCTTGTTGTTCACTCTGTTGTGCAAGAGACAACTGAAAATCTTCTTGAATCCCTTGCGAAAATGCTTGGATACCAGAGCATAGACAATGGGATTGACGCAAGAGTTGGCATATGAAATCAGGTGAGAGAGAATCCTAAGCACATAGGTAGCGTTGTTCAGTGGGAAATAGCCAAACCAAAACCAGAGGATGACCACATGGTGGGGCAGCCAGCAAAGGCAGAACAGAACGGCGACAATGATGATCATCCGAGTGACCTTGCGCTTGCCCTTTTTGGAATCGGACATGTCCTTGATGGGGTCCACTGAAGTCCAGAGGTACCGGATGGTCCTCACGTAGGTGAAGCTCAGGATCACCACTGGAATGACGTAGCTGAAGACAAATGTGCAGAGGTCCATGATCTTGCGTCGAGGGACTTCCCAGATGGGATGGCACACGGTCACATTGGCTACCTGGAACTCTTGGTAGTAACTAATGTAAGGCCCAGAGAAGATGAAAGAAAGGCCCCAGATGAGACAAATGGCCATGAGTGCATTTCTGGGAGTCCTTAGTTCTCTTGAATGCAAAGGGTACCTTATCGCCAAGTATCTAGGCAGGCAGTAGAAAAGCAAGAAAACAATTATACTGAGGAAGCAGTACATTTTTGTAAAGAAATCTAGAAAAGGTGCCACCCAAGTTAATGGGTGGCAATTACAATGCTAAACACACTAGCCAGAATAGTATCCTGAACAAAGGAGATGTGGCAGGAGGAGTTTCGTCCTGACATTGGAAAAATGCTTATGACGATTTAAAACTTCAGTATCATACCTTAGAGCTCTTTAACACACTGCGTCCTTCTGAAGAAGCTGCTTAAGTAATGTGGAATATTGCATGGCAAAAAAAGGGGGGGAAGATGGTGAGGAAAGGAACCTTGCCGGAGGGTGTTAGGGAGCAGGAGAGAGGAGTACAGCCAGGGTGCAGAATGCTAGGCCTGGGGGGCAAACCCAGCCTGCCTACAGTTCCCATCAGGACCTTCAGGGCTCTGTGGGTGGCCACACCCCCTCCTCTGGCTCCACCTCCTTTCCCCTGACCACCAATTGTACAGGTTTTCCTGGCTTTTGTGTGGGGTTTTCCCCCTTCTGCAAGGTTGATTCTCTCTTCAGGCTTAATTTCTGGCAAGAAGGGCTCAACGTTAAAGCAGGCTGGTATTTTCACCTTGCTGCTTTGCCCCTTGGAGCCATTCCCAACTGGAGGACGGCCCCCAAAAGCGTCTCTGAAATGGAATGAACCCATGCCTACCATGTGCTGTACATGCACATGGCAGGCATGTCATCAGCGGAGCAGGCAGGAGCCGGGATCAGACTAGATGGCCTGGGAGGCCCCTTCTGACTTTTTCTGTTTCTATGTTTCTGGCTGACAGAGCTTCAACATCGCTGCTGCATGGGGTGTGGACAGAGACCTCTTCTAAGGGCAGCCCTGCTTCATTCAAGGTGATGTGTCTTGCCCCACAGGCTTGCTAAGCAAGCCGCAGTGACGCCAAGGCTCCTGGGGCTTCATCTTCTGCATGGGAAAGCAGGGGGTGGCTGACAACATCTCAAGCAGCCAGGCAGGGAAGCCCCCTCCAGCTAAGCTTCTGGTGCAGGCATGTCTGTTTGGTGACATTATAAGGTGTGTGAAATTCAAAATGTTAGTGGCTATCATGGTTTTGACTCTCTGTTGTTACTAACCACCCAGACACCATATTGCAGGAGGGTGGGGTGTATTTTCAATACAAAAACCAAGCAAGGAGTAAAGAAGACTAGAAGGACTATTCTCTAGGAAAAGGGATTACAGCACACTCTTTTCCTCTTCTTACACTGGTGCCCTCTAAGTCCCCGTGTGCTGGCAGATGCTGACCACAGCCCGACACCCAGGGATGCACACAAGTGTAGCAGCACCACATGTCCATGCCACCATTTTGCAAGTACAGTTTTGTGGGGAAACAGAAAGACTTGGTGTGAACCCTGCATTTGCTCCAATCTTGCCCTTGGGAACAGCATAATATTCTGTCTCCAAAAGAAGTAGTTTGAAGCCAATGGAGAAGCAAAACAAACACTGCTTCCAGCACCTCCGTGGACAGCACTTCCCAGCCAAAGCAGAGCACAGGATCCTCCTAATTCAACTGCCAAGAGCAGGAGGTTTCAAACAACAGTGAACATGTTGGGAAAGGCACAAGTCACATCACATCACTTTATCCTCATGCCTGGAGAACTTCATGGTTGTCACTATGAGCCATCTAATCATTCCTGACTTATGGCAACCCTCCTGGGGAACTTAAGAGCATTCAAATGGGAACCTTGGTGAATGGGCATTAGGCATTCCAAGGGAGAACTCTGTACACAAGCAAAAGCCCTTTATCCTACCAACAAATGTTGGAAGAACACTTGTGTTGCTTGTCTGCTTGGAACCTGTACAGGTCATGACACTATGGTGTCTTTCTGTCCATGGGGCGGTGGTTTCCATGTGAGGCAGGACAGTGAGATGTCACAAGCCCTGTTCAGACAACTGTGTGCGTCTAAAGAACAAACTTGTGCCTGGGATGGGAAGCCCCAGGCTTTGCCATCTGCAAGATGCATTTTCAAGCATGCATCTGCAGTGGGCCTGCAAGTGCACAGGCAGGGGCTGCAAACAATCAGGAACCCCAAAGAAACTGTTGTCTCCCTCTGCTGACCACTGACCCTCCCACACTTGCATGGGTGCAGTTGCCCTTGTTGGTCTGTGTGTGTGTGTGTGTGTGTTGCTTGCCACCACCCCATCCTCATTTGTACATTCATGGCACAAGCTCTACTGCTTGGACAGGCTGTGAGTGGTATTGTGCTCTTGCCAGATGCGGAATAGCTCCTTGCATGACAGGCTACACTCTCCTTTGGGCATTGGGGGTGCTCCTGTGGGCATTCTGGGCCTTCCTGTCCATCCCCTCTTGCTTAAAAGCATGTTGTTTAGCTGTAGATGTCACTTGTTGGGAATGCACAGAATGCCATCTATGGTTGCTTCCAATGCAGAATTTTATTGTGAGAACATCATGCGTCCTTCACAGACTTTTATAGAGGTCCAAGAATTCTTTCCTTGTTTCCCCTCTGCGTCTTTTCTCTGTTTTCTTACTATGGTAAAGCCATGAAGGAAAAAGAGATGAAACAACAGCACTGTGTCTTTTGATGGCAAGCACACTGCTTGGAAGCTCCCTACATCACTCAGAGGTTGCCTTCTTAATGGCTGTTGGATTACTTTGTTAGTTTTAGAAACTTGCCAGGCTAATTGGCAATTTTTAGGATAAAAGCTCTTAAATCTTTATAGGCATATAATTTATGGCTACTTAGCACAGATGTCCATGGATGTAAATGCACATACACGGAGGTTGGGGGGGGGGGTCCTCTTTCTGCAGGAGAATTTGGTACCATTGGTCAGTCACCTGAATTTAAAGATGCTCACTTTTCTCTTGTCTGCTGGAAAATTACTACTGCCTTTTCATTCAGTTTATCAAAAAGCTTTCCTCATTTTTAATGTGTAAAAAAATTATGGCAGACAAATATCTCAACTCTATCACTCTGTTTGCTTGTCTGTTCAAAAATAAGATTGCTTGGTTTGATCACAGACCACCTTTGTGAAGCACAAAAGTAACTTTAATTTTCTGCTTGCTCTTCTGACAGCTGTTCTGTTTATATTGCTTCCTCCTATTCTTTGGTTGGAACACACAGTGTAATTTCTGGGTATCTTCTGAGAGAAATATTTTTTTATTATGTGTAACATGCATGTAAAGTTTACGTTGACCCAAATGTACACTTGATTTTTTTTCTGCTTTCCATTCACATTAACAGTGGTTACAAGTTTGTGTAAAAAGCACAGGAGGTGCTCAGCAGCTCTTTCAGCCCTGTCTCGCTTGTCTCCACCAGCATACTAGCCCAGCTCTTTTGCTGCAATGAGTCCTCCTAAATTTAATGACATAAGATGTGCTTTATGAACGTATTTGATCCTTCAGACGAATGGACAAAGTGGGCATAGATGAACTTCCTGTATTGTTGGATGTACAATTTCATACTAAACTGTAAGTATGGAAAGCCAACATGAACAATAAAAGGATTTTGCTTAAGAACCCTTTATAATGCATTGATGTTTTTGTACACATATGTGTTATAATGTAAACAGATGATGGTGACATATTTGCATATGAATGCAAATACATACCCACTAGACAGCTAAGATCAGCTAAGGCTGTCCATTGAGTGTACAAGTAATAGAAAATAAAGGCTTCCGCCACATGATAAGTGATGCTGTTCTAAGTAAAACACTATAAACCAACTATAGCTCTTTTTTAATGCCCCCAATTTTCAAACACACCTATCCCAACACAGCTAGATTGATCTGTGAGCAGACCTGGCGTTCTACGCACTGATTCCTTGGCAGGATTAGAAACTGCATGTGCAAACTGAATCGGCATCTGGAAGCCCCTATCAGTGGTGCACGTCAAGATGTGATACAGCTAACGCAAGCTCCCTCTGTCCTGCAGGGTGTAAATGAGGGTCTGCATTCCCATCTGCCTTGCACCATGGTGAGTGAAAATGTGCATTCCTCACCATCTCAGATATCTTGTTGGGCACAACAACCCGGGGGTTGGGATTGTTTATTGCTTTATTCTTTTCTTCCTTTTCAGAGACAAACAGAAGTAAGAGTTACATGTCTAATACAGTGGTATCCATCTGGGAATTCTTAGTTTCTGAGATCTTTTTAAAAATGGTGATTGCTTTACCTACTTAAATAGCTGCAGGTGCATATTGCAAGAGCTACTTGGTTCAAAAGTAGTAGTAGTAGTAGTAGTAGTAGTAGTAGTAGTAGTAGTAGTAGTAGTAATAATAATAATAATAATTATTATTATTAATAGAGTGTTATCTGAATATTCAAGGTGCTTCTCTATAAGCCCTTGCAACAGCCCTGGAAGGCAAGTCAGGATCTTCACTGTCACCATCATCATCCTTTCTTGCCAATGGGAGCTGCAGCTAAGAGAAAAGGAACTTTCTTTAAAGCCATCTAGAAAGTTCATCCTTGAAGCCAGAAGTTCAGGCTACACCACTGGTGCACATTTCTAGCCACTATGCTACACCATTGCTCAATTGTTTCACCCGTTCCCTCACACTCCTTCTGTAGAGCTGGCAAATCTGCACACACACTGCTGCTGACACATTTGCTCCTTCCTAGAATTCATCTATCTCTGGTTCGGGGTGTGATCCATCGGGAGGAAGTTACATGGACAGTCCTGCTTTATTGTTGGATATTTGACTAGATGGCACATATAATAATATCATTCTGTGCCTCTCTTTTGTCTGAGCAAAGTTTTATTTCAGGATACATCATCTCAGATGCGTGAAATGTCAGGCACGTGATGGAATAAAGTCAACAACAATGATAGCTCTAGTTTAATAGAGTTGTTCAAGAAAGGTGTATTCTCCCTTCGGTGTCATAGCCCATAGGATGCATGCAGGGAAGTGGGGAAAATGGAATTAGCACAGGTTGCAGAGTAAGTTTTGGGATTCCGAAATTGCACAATGATGCTTAATTCAAGTCCACACGCCCTTGCCTTCCCATTTGCCTGCTCACCTGTCTAGGGATACGGTCGTGAGGGTGAAGCTGCTTGCATACATGGTCAGGAAGATGATGAAGTGCACGGCTTTGCACATGAGGGGCCCAAAGATCCAGTCATCCAGGGTGTAGATGGTGGCTTGGAAGGGCACACAGAAGACAATGAAGCACAGGTCAGCCACTCCCAGGTTGAGGATGAAGAGGTTGGTGGTGGTGTTGACCTGCCCGTTCCGCAGCAGCACAGCCAGCACCAGAGCGTTGCCCACAGTGCCCACCAGGAAAATCAAGGAATACACCAGGGGAATGAGGATCGAGACCAGCTGCCACGTGTTGCTCTCGCCGCTGCCTGAAGAGTTAAGGTGGGGCAACGATCTGTTCATCTTGGAAGCAAGCGGCATGCTCTAATTAGGGGAGCGGAGATGGAGAAGGAGTCTTTGGCAGACCCGGTGAGCTAGGAGCACACAAACCACGTCCATCGGCAGATCACTTCCAGAGAGACTTTCTTTTCTGAGAAATGTGTTCCGTCGTGGCAGATCCTTCAGTAGCTGCTCTCCTGGTTGTAATCCTTCAAGCCATCTCAGGTTCCCCTCACCGATGCTGGGCTTCTGTCCTCATGGAGTTAAAAATGTGCTGCTAAATCTCCACGTGTCTTTTCTTTTGCAGCAAACACTGCTAGAATGCCTTTCAGGCTGCTGCCGCGTCTCCAGCAGCCCACTGCTCAGATAGATACGCAAAGCCAAAACTTCTTGCCAGTTGTGCTTACTGGCAGTTTAATAGTCCTGCGCTGCGCCCTTCGTGCTGCTCATTCTCTGAATCCCCCTCCATGGTATTCATGGGGAGCAATTAATATATTCATGCCTGGATCTTGTTTCCAGGGAGACAAACAGCCAAAATAAAAGTATGGTGACCATGGAAACCTAGTCCCCTCCCCACATACACACGACATCCACGGACCACTAAAGATTGTTTGGAAGCCTTGGGGTTTGTCTCCGTGCTCTGGGGAAAAGGAAAGGATCGCTTCCATTTACTGATTTTTTCAGAGAAAAGCTGATCAGTCTTCGCAGATAACTTCATATAGATGTGGAATGAACAAGAGCTCGGCCCCCATCTGGTGAGTTGAGCAGGGGAAGAAGGCTGAGAGCTCTTTTCCAAGACCTGCTCTGTCGGAGCACTCAGCTGCCACTTTGAGCCTCTTGAAATCTTTTGCAGACTGATCCGCTATGAGTGGGGCAGCTGAGAATGGGCCCCAGTCGTTATGCTAATCTCCCTCAGTAACATAGCCCACTGTTTGCCCCCTCCCCAGGATGGAACCAAAACTCCGAGTTTGGGGGAGAGAAGAGATTTTGAGGAAACCTAGCAGGGAGAATGGGAAAAGGCAATAAAGCTGAATTAGTTTGCAAAGCTTTACATGCAAGGCCAGCCCAGAAGTTCTCTGTTGCCTAGGCAAAAGGATTGGGCAGGCATGGAATCTTTTATGGGATCCCAAGGCCAAGGAGAACCCATAGACACTTTGGGAGCATGGAATCACAGCAGAACCCAAGAGGACAACAGAATGGTCCCACTGTTCTCTCTGCAGCTGCATTCTGGAAACCTGCAAGGCCAAATCATACCTATTTTCCAGCTGCTAATCTCCCTGGGAGTTCAGGAAACACGTGGCCTAGGCCACAGAGGCTGCCTGCAGTTGTGTGAATATGCAATATGCATATTCTATATCCGGTAATTAGGCTTGAAGTTGCTCCATGCAGCTGCTGCCTCTGTGGAGCAATTTCTTCCGCATCATCACAGATGGAGGGTTTTGTCCATTTCTCATTGTGAGCCTCTGAACGTGAGCCACTCACTATGCAGACAGCTGCTTCGTGCACAGTGGCTGTAACACGAGCCTTCACCAGGGCTGCAACAAAGACCCCCCCTGCCCCCCACCCCCTGCAAACACAGAACTGCTGGTTAGGAACTGTGGTTTCAGGTGTGGACTGGCTGGTGCTTGCTCAGTGCTTCCAAGCCCTCTGGTGCCCATGAGAGCCCACTTTCTTGCACTGGCAGCCCAAACAGCTTGTTCAGGGGATGGTGGAACTATCAGGAACTCAGCCACACGACAGTTTTTTCCAGGCAGCACTTACAGAACATAGGTCTCTGCCTGAGGTCTAATTGTCCATCGAATTTAGTATTGTCTCTCCCGAATCTCTGGTAAGGAAGAGTCTTTCAGATCCCCTGCTACGTCTTCCTTTAAATTGGGAGATGCCAGGGGCTGCGCCCAGGACTTCCCATGTGCAAAGTATGAGCTCTGTCTCTGAGCTATGGTCCTTCCATATGCACACCCTTGTATGTCGAAGCACCAGACCAGGAGCGGGGAACTCTCACACTGATGCATCCTCATACCAGCCTTGCCTTTGTTTAGACTGGGCTGGGGCTGTGCTACCAGCCTCCACTGAAGTTGTGTGCTGTCTACTGTGTGAAGAGAGGAGAGGCAATGCTGTTGTCTCACAGAGTGGCAGAAAGGAGAGGCCTGTTCTAGCAGCTGGCACCTCCTACTTAGGTCCTTGCTTCCTAAACCAGGCTGAAATCCCTTCCTTGAGCAACCTCACGCCAGGAGGACCATGGCACAGGCCCACTTTCCAATCTAGGAGGCACTCCTTCCAATAAAAACTCCTCAGGGCTCCCTGGAGCCTCTGAAGATTTTGTGTGTGCACTTCATTTTACAGTGTCTTGATTTCTGTGCTGGGAGGGGTGCCCTCTCTGAAACTGACTGGTCCCAGTTCGTGAGCAAACTGCCTAGGGAAACTGTCCCGGTCAGACCAAAAGCAGTGCCCAAGGCACTGGGCCTCCCAGTTGCAGGCACCCGTCTCAGCCGCTTGTCCCACACTGAAAGGGTTATTTTCCAGCTGGGGTCTTCATCACCTTGACAGTCCGTCCTCCCTCCAAGCAAGCTGCTCAGGAGCCAGAAGAGCAGCAGTGTCACCACAGGCTGGGCAGGACTTTATACCAGGTCACACCATCACTTCTTCAAGCTCAGTGTCTCCACTGACTGGAAGCAGCACTCCAAGCTTTCCGGCAGGAGTTTCCCGGCCCTAATTGGAGCCTCCTGGGGCTTTCTGCACCCAAGGAGGAATCGTAGAATAGCAGAGCTAGAAGGGGCCAAGAAGGCCATCGGGTCTACCCCTTCCTGGTGCAGGACACCAATTTACACCATCCCACTCAGATGGCTGTCCAGTTTTGCCTTGAATGTCTCTAGTATGGGAGAGCCCACCACCTTTCTCTGCAGTCGTTTCCACTGTTTTGCTCTGACAGTGAGGAAGCTTTTCCTGATATCTAGCCTGAATCTGGGTTGTTGCAACTTGAATTGATTATTCTGTGTCCTGCACTCTGGTATCAGTGAGAAGAGATCTTGACCTTCCTCTTTGTGACAGCCTTTGAGGTGTTTATAGAGGGATATCATGTCCCCACCACCCTCAGTCTTCTCTTCTCAAGGCTGAACATGCCCAGTTCTCTCAGTCGCTCCTCATAGGGCAGTGTTTCCAAACCCTGGATCATTTTTGTTGCCCTCCTCTTGACCCTTTCTAATTTTTCTGCATCTTTCTTAAATCTTGGTTTACTACTTAGTAGCTTTACTGCTATGCTATGACCCTGGACTCCAGGCAGTGCGCCAGCCTACGAACAGCTTGGCCAGGAAGGAATCAGCCAGTGAAGCCCTGACACCAAGCCCTGAGGCAGCAGAAGCTGGTCTGTGCCACTGCATTGTAAGGGTTTGCTGAAATCACAGCTGGCCACGTGGCGCTGAGGATAGAGGCATGCAGTGCTTGAATGCAGAAGACTCCTATTCAGATTCTTGGTTCAGCTGTGAAGTTCTCTGGGCCAAATTCCTAACCTGACCTAAGGCCTACTGTTATCATGAACTCTGGGTTTCTATCCAATTCCTTTTTCTTCAGACGTAATATGGAAATGCATCTCATCTGCCACTTGTTAAAAAAAATACACAAATAGCTTATAGACCACGGAATATGAAAGCAGGAAGAGAACAACCCTTTCACCCCCTTCATCTGACAATATGAACTTCTCATTAGGATTTACGAAAACCAGAAGGTTTCCGGAGCAGTGGCAAAGGCCCTTGTGGATTTAAAGGAATGGCACAGAAACAAGAGAAGTGGTGTAAGATAAATGAGCAGGAGTGGAATTTTAATAATTCTTTATTAATATGAGAGTGCATTTCCCAAGAGCAAAACAGATACATGAGCGGTGCCACTCTCATTTCAACATGAAATGTACAGTCCTCCAAAGATATTAATCTCAGCAGCACTTGTATGAGAGGGATGAATTTTACTGAGCAAATAAAATCACTCCCATCAGCTCACAACTGAAGATCAGGCTAAAGAAAGGCAGGGGAAAGAAATCTACTTCTCTACTGGAAGGCTTATGGCTGAAAAGCTGATGAAAATAAGATGACCACTTGGGCTGAGCACTGGGAGAGAGCAGCCTGTCTCCCTTCCGCTTTTGACTGTTTAAGTGGTAAAGGGACACCGCCAAACGGTTGTCTTCTTGTTCTCAAGGGAAGAACGGTGCTGCAGTGGCACTTGACACAGAGCCACTCAGCAGGGAAGGGGCAGCCCGTTCCACAGGGAAAAGACTCCTTTCGCACTGAACCGCCTGTTGCCAAAACCACAGCAAGAGCTTGAGAACTGTCCCAGTGAAGCAAATGCCTCTCCAAAGAGGCATTCTGTCAGGCATCAGTTGTGTGTTTTCTGGTAGCCTGAGGGAAGCATGCCTGCTCAATGCTTGGTGAAGGTAGCTTTGGTAAAGGCGGTGGGGGGGGGGGGGGAGGCTGCCAGATCCCATCATGGCAGGACTTTAGGAAGACCCCTGGAGACTTGTGTTCTCTGGCTTTCCTCTCAGACTGGGTTGTAACTGCAGCTGTATTGTAGGTTTTGCCTTACTACCTTTGTTGTAGGTTATTGCTTTTGTTTAATTAAACCCTTTGCTGTTTTATGTTACCACATCAGTTTTTATTATATGGATTTCATTGTGGTGTGTTGCCATGGGAGGGCTCCTACTCTGAAAGGCAGCCTGGAAATATTTTAAAGACACAAATAAGAGCCCTGCTATTATCCTGCAAAGGTAAGGAGGAATCTCTACCAGTTGTCTCTGTCGTCTTGTTTAAGTACAGAGAACATCCACATGATAGAACATACAGTTATACAGGAGAATAAATAATTCCAGACAGACTAGGGAAAAAACGGGTGGGGTGGGGGAATAAATGCAAGTTGAACTATTTGGATCAAAACTGGGGTCAAAGTGTCCACTAGCACACATCTTGGATTAAAATTAAAACATGACTGAAAAGAAAAATATAATGGATCAAATATGCTATTTAAAGCAGAAAAATATGAGCATTAGCAAGGGACATGCA